TGTTAAAGTCATATAAGCTTTATTGTACATCAATATATCATCATCATCACCATCAACATTATCATCATGATCACCATTATCATCAGCATCATTACCATTCACATTATCATCACAAGCATCACCATCATCACTATAATCATTACCACCATCATCATCTTCATCACCATCATCACCACCACTATCACCATTTCATTGTTATATTTCAAGTAAATGTTTGGCTTAAAGTAACAATTTCACTTAAAAGTAGACAAGAATGAGAGCGACAATAATGATATTTGGATACATTTTTAATTGTCAAGTGTGTAAAATATGCTGGACCGTTATAAAAGTGCATAGATTTTAAAGTTCCCTTTGTCTAATTGATGTACAATAAAGTTTATAAAACTATTACTTAATACTCATTTAGATATATTGCTTCACATGAATGAGAACGATTTAGTCACTAGCGCTGAAATTGGTATTTAAGTCGATTTTTTGCTAAAACGGAGATTCACAGGTTACTTCACTGTGTACACTCCAACCCCACAGGAGCTCCTTCTCACGTGTACGAAAGGTGAAAGTGATGCGGTATGAACTTTTGTTATTAAGAGGCTTTTAGTTGAATTGAAACTAATGATAAGACAAATTGAAACACATTTTGTATCCCCAAGAAAACATGTTTGTTTATAATAAATTGGAAAATTACGGTATGTATTCGACGTGTAAGTTATTAGAGTTTATCCTCGATGGGAAATACTTCGATTTCCACGAGTATTTAATTTTTTTCTTCGTTTCTTATAATTAGGGCGACGTGGAACCGGCTCCCATGAATGAGAAATTGCCCAGTTTTTTAATTTTTATTTATTACTGTGACATAGTAAAGTAGTCTTTTTATATGTAACACAGACTAAGCAATCAATATCATATTAAATAAATAATGCTTAGCATTCATGTAATAACAAAAACATTATTGAAAGGGACACATTTTTGGAGGTTATCTAAAAACGACTCTGAAACGGTTTTCAAAGTAGAGTGGTTATGGTGACTAGAGAAGAATACATTTTGTTAAAAGTATAAATTTATTTTTGGACCAAACATTGTTTTTCTATTATGACGATGTTTAAAAAGTACTTAAGTTACTTAAAGTGTTGATTTGTAAACGAGTGGTTAAAAATGTGTCTATAATATGCTTTGTACTCATTGACTTATAAATAAATGGACGACGGGTCTAATACAAAAACCACGAAAAAAATGTCCCAAGTCAACCTATTCGAAATTTAAATTGTAATGTCATCGCAGTATCGCGCTGTCAGTAGAACAAATGAAGACTAAAGCGGAGTGTCGCGCTCTGTATACGATTTTAGCGCCTTACAAGTGCGGACACTTTTTAGCGCGGACCCGACGTCCATATAATTGTAAGTCAATGTTTGTACTAATAAAAATCATAACAGGTTGACTTTTCTTTAATTTGTCACCCTTGACTTTAACTTGTATGTTCCTCTTGCCCCAAAATTATTTTTTACACTTTTTTTTATAGCTAGTTATTCCTCCTAGAGCTCATAACATTTGTCTTGAAATAAAGTATGTTCGTCTTACCCCACCTGACCTTAATTATAATTATTATATTACTAAAAATAAAAACAAATTAAGTAAAAAAATACAGTTGAGTTGTTAAAAATATTGAAGTTATGAGAAAACATAACATCAATATTTACTTTACCTTGCGGAAAGGCAACGATCTTCATGCAGCCTAGTCTTTTTTAAATTTATATATTTTGATACAGATATTCTATCTCACGAAGGCGGGTGAGCAATAGTTGTAGTAGTGACGTGTACAGATAAGCGCCTTTGTGTGCGTAAGTTCACGTAGCGATAGCATAACAATCGTAAATATTTTTTAATTATTAATTTTCGTTTGAAACTTATATTATAATTTGTTAAGCTTGTCAATTGTTATTACTTAGTATATAGGTATAATAAAATATTATAGGTAGATTGCATACAAATATCATTTATTCAAAGTCTGAAGACGATTCTGTCATGCTGTCGTCATCACTATCATCTTGCAAATTTATTACAAATTCAAAATCTAAATCAAAATATTTTAAATATTCTTTTTCTATTTTTTCAACACGGCTACAAGTATTACGCCACGTTTCGCTGCTGACATTATCAATACTTTCATTTATTAATATGTCTGTACTTGTTATATTTTGCTCGATGTTTCTCGAAGCAATGTAATTTTTTATAATTCCCCATACGTTTTCGATAGCGTTTAATTCTGGATGGTAGAGGGGAAGGCGTAAGACATCAAATCCTTTGCTTTTGATGAACTCGTCAATTTTAAATGTTACAAACTCTTTCTTATGTTTTTTTATTATGTCGTACAATTCCACTTTTCTCAGACTTTCATCAAACCCTATGCCTTTATTTGTGAGCCATTGTTGCATCTCATCTTTTCTTGATGCTGATGTCGGTATTTTTTCAGCACGCGTGTTGTGATACGACGCATTGTCTAAAACTATGACAGAACGGGCAGGCAAATTGGGCAACAGTTTCTCGTTGAGCCATTTGACGTAGTTTTCGTAACTCATATTTGAGTGATAATCTCCCACTGTCGAATTGGCCTTGTACATCAATTTCGCATTTTTTATAAATCCATCTTTTGTGCCCGCGTGCACTAAAATAAAACGGGTACCTGTGCTGATTTTTTTTAAAAATGGTGTGGATTCTTTTTTTTTCGCCCAGGTATTAGTACGCACATGCGTCGTTAGGACGTAACTTTCGTCAGTGTAGACAATTGGTCGCTCTTGAGAGCGATATTCTGCCATCTTTTTTAAATATTTTAATCGCCACATTTGTATATCATGACGCTCTACCAAAACTTTTCTATTGTTTTCAATTTTACGCCACTTGTACCCCAATTTCTGTAACAATTTGCGAAGTGTTTCTAGGCAACCGTCAAAACTAATTTTTTCAGATAAAACTGATTTTATTTTAACAAGTGTTGGAATTTCTTTATGTGCAATGTGGAAATTGTTTATTGTGCTCCGAATTACATCTGCTGTAAGATTATCTATTTCCATTTTATTATCTCTCTTCCTTCTCTTTTTCATGGGAGATGTAAAATTCGAGGAAGTGGATGGCAACTCTTTCTCTTCTTTTAATATACGCTGCACCGTTCGTAGGCTAACGCCTGTGGCATCAGCAGTGCGTTGTGATATGTTGCGTAAGTGAGATAAATCACAATTTGGTTCTTGATTCGCTATAGTAAATTCATATTCTTCTTTCAAGAAATGATAAACGCTGGCTATCATGCTTCGACCCTAAAACAAAAGAATATAGAAATTGTTAACAGATGTAGAATTAGAAAAACAAATTGTTAACAAATATCGGCAATGTAAAAAAAGATTGTTTCTGCGAAAATAGAACAGGCGGGTAACAAAAGAGAGGTTATAAAATATTGTCGGCAAAGTAAACAGGAAAAGAAAACAAAGCTTTTGAAAGTTTGCTCCACACGTGGTCTAGGTTACTGTACAATACTAGACATTGAGATTCTATATTTATTTATAAACTAACAAATTATTAATTTTAACGGGCAAGTAAACCTAATCTAACCATACTATTAATTATTTTGATTATTCCAAAAAAAGGCTTACATTATTTTAAATTCATATAACGCAACAAAAAATAACGATATATTACTATAAAATAAAAATAATGCCTTATTATTATTATAGAAGAGAAAATTACAATACCTCACTACGGACGACTTTTCTTTGTTTTGTTTCCATGCTGACGGTACTCATTTGGACAATCTGACGCGAACACAATTAGCACAAGTGATCTGGACGAGCTCGAGATCGCAACTGAGCGCTCCTGAGCTTACGCACACTAAAACAATGTGCATGTACACGCGTAACAACACCTTTGGCTCACCCGCCTTCGTGAGATAGAATATCTGTAATTATACATACTCCGTTAATGTGTAGTCAGAACACTCTGTTACTTATTAATCTATGATTTATGTTTTGTCTTCTGTTAACAAGCGATAATACATTCTTGCAAAACGAGAAGAATAATGTGAAATTTAATTTTTGTATACTATTTCGCGATTATCAAATATTAATGCACAAATTAATCAAAAAACCACAACATTGGATACTGACCGAATCAATGTGAATAATTCAAAACTTTAAATTTGTATTCACATAATGAGTCAAATAGCGAAATGTGAAGGCGAAAATTAAGGGAAAAACATCCGGAAAATATTTATTTTTCTGAAAAATATAATTTTTTCAAAATGGAAATTTTTCCATGAACCAACGAAAATGACAGAACTATTGGAAAAAGGAAAAAAAATGGCGAGCTGAAGTACGAGTGCAGTTTTTACACAGGTTAATTTTATTTTAAGTATATTATGAAGAAAATACGAAGAAAGTTATAGTGATGAAGAAAGTTAGAACTATATTCCTTATTTAAAAATAAATAACAAAAGAGTTTATCCTGAAAATTTCATTAATTACGAATACAAAGTAAAATAAAAAATACAAATAAATATTATTGACTCCAGGCGCTTATGAGACTATTTAGAAAGCCCAAACAAGAGAGTAAGGGTCGTATTCCAGAACTTTACTCAATGCTCAAGTCAGGACTTTAGTATGATCTCAAGCACTGGAATTACGACCCTAATGGCAAGGACTTGAGTATGATTTCTAGTGATTTAAATCATACTCAAGTCCTGACTTGAGCAGTGAGTAGAGTTCTAGAATACGAACCTAAGGGTCGTATTCCAGACCGCTACTCAATGCCACATGACATGGCTCAAGTACTTATATCCAAGCTGAAACTAGTATTTAAAAAAACAGAACTATTGTATCGAACGAAATTTATAAACGAAAATTCTGACGTGATGTGTCATTTTTATGTATGTCAGCAGTCTGTCAATGACTGATAAATAAATTGGTAATCTTTCGTTAATTTAATGGATAAATTCTTTACTAATGTAAAATCTGGTAAAGATGTTTAAAAAATTAAAAGACAAGCTAGCGGAGGAAGTAAAGTCTTCACCTCAAAGAATCCAACAGTTCGCCCAGGCTGCCCAAGTATTATTCTATGAATCACATATTATCTTAATTGTTCCCATTTCGCAAACATCGTACCGAAATTCTCACTATATGTTTTTCATACTTTAGAATGAATTGACAGAGAATAAATATATACAATAAATTGTTACCAAAGGAAAGCATTGACAATACTTAAGTAAAATAAACAATACAACATTAAAAAAATATACGATATGTTTCTCAAACTAGGTTCCTCTACGTAGACGACATTACTTCTTTAATTAGTTGAAAATTACATACTCTAACTGTACCTCAACAATAAATAGGCAAAGAGTACTTAAGCTTTAGCATTTCTCTCCACATTTTCATTTGCACATAAGTGAATTTAATTGCAGGCTGCCGTAACTTCAGCGTCCAGCAGCATATCCGACATTACTAACAATGATTTGTTCTCCATTGGCGACAGTGGTAAGTTTTAAAAAAAAGGTTATTCCATGGTATATTATTATGGTAACAATTCCTCACTTAACAATAGATGACATTTTTACTGTAGCCCTGTATGAACCATGACAACAATTTTCATATTATCTGTAGGTGTGTTTACTGACTGTGTGTTTTAATTAAGATGCACTTATTTAACCATACTCCCTTCTACATCTCCATATACAGTTTGATGAAATAATACCTGACAATTTTTTTTTTTCTATGAATCAAAAGTACTTGTGGAGAAGCATCTTTAAAAAAAATATTTCAGTTTTGTTATTGTCTCAAATACTCTATCTAGACTAGGAATTGCATATCTGACAAATCCAAGTGTATCCAAATTTTTTTCATTATGTAAATCTTTCTTATTGTATTGTATATTGTAAATCTTTCAAAATGTATCAAAGTGACGAAAAACTTATAAAAACATCATAATAGCATTAGATACTGGTAAAGGTAACCAATGCATAGTGCCAAAAAAGAATGTAATTAACCATGCAGTCTCTTTACATTTTAATGACTACTGTTTCTACAATTATTACACTTATGCACTGTATACAAAGGCTGACCAGTTAGCTCCATATCTGAAGTACTGTCATATTACCGCTGTACAGATGGTATATTTGAGAAAACTTAGAAACATAACTTTTTTTTTATATTATATATGCAAGATGATAAAAAATCACTGTCCATTTTATTTCCTGTGCATAAGATTCAGTAATACAACACATTAGTGAAATAAAATAATAATTATATAAATCCCTTTTTTGCTTTTTTAAAATGTCAATATTTCCTAATGATTTCTAACGTGTGATTTCCTTAACATTATTATATTAGTAAATAATAATCGGTTCTTCGAGCGACTGGCGCCGCCACGTCTGGCCCTCGCGCGACATCAAATCGACGCAAACAAATACAAATCGCAGTCGTCATTGCGTAACAATGTATTCCCATTGGGAATATTACAAGATTTATTTATTTAGTATTAATAGGCGAGCAGCTTGAAACTGATATGCCTATATCAAAGCTGTGTTGAATTTTTATAAAGTCCACGAATTCACAAATAGTTCTGAATCTTTTTTTTAAAGTCCACAAAACACTAGAAGAACTTAATGACCTAGAAGACACAAATTCTTTTTTAACCAGCTGTCCAGCCGGGTTTTGAAAGTGTTCACTGAGCAAGCATTAACAACGTTCTCAGGCAACCTGTTCCACTTTGAAACCGTTCTGTTGCCTTCCGACAATATTCATGTTGTGACTCCTGATATTCCTGGAGTGTACTGTTCTTTCGTTGTTGTGAAGGTGTGGAAGATTGTAGAATCCATGAAGAATTTTAAAAGTTTCAATTAGATCACCCCGTACCCTTCTTTCTTCAAGAGCAGTGAGGCCCAGGAATTTCAATCTGTCCTCATATGATTAACGATGTAGAGCCTGAGGTATTTTGGTGGCTCGCCTTTTACGCTTTCGAATAGATCAATGTCCTTCCGAAGGTACGGACTCCAGACTTGGAATCCATATTCAAGCATTGACCTAATATATGTCTTGTAAATCTTAATAAATACTTCAACAGTGATCCCTTGAAAAGGTCTCCATATGACATATAAAAGAGTTTGCCTTTTTTACCATGGTACCAATGTGTTCTTCCCATTTTAAATTTTAAATTATGGTAATTCCCAGATCTTTCTGCTGACTGACTGAGCTCATAACATTACCATATAAACTATAATTTTTTTGGGAACCAAGGTGCAATATACTACATTTTGAAATGTTAAATCTGATGACCCAGTCTTAAGTCCAGTTATGAATGCGGTTGCAGTTGCCCACATTTGAAGAGTTGGCAAAAACTTCCCATTGTCTGCGAAGAAGGCTGAATGGCACTCTTTGAGTTCCACTAAGTCGGTAATAGATGGTTCGTGTTAATATCGAAAGTGGTTGGAGTGTTCACAAAGCTCGAAGACTATGCGATGGAGAGCCTCAACGAGCTCAGGGCTTGGTGGATTGGCCTACCAGGTCACCTGATTTCATTCCATGTGATTTTTTTGTGGGGCGAAGTTAAACGCCAAGTGTAATGTGAACGAAACCCAAAGCTATGACGAATTTAAGTCATCTATTGATGAACCAACATCTACATTAGTTAAAAAAATATAAACGATTGAAAATACGAAGAAGTGCCAACGCCTGCCCTTTATATTATGGCTATAGAGCACTAAAAACTTTATCTTTTTAATTTAATCAGGCACTTCGTAAAATTTTCAATCGTTTATATTTTTTTAAATAATTTAGGTAAGAAGCATATACTTTTAATTCGTGAAAGTAGCAAATAGGTAGCAATTGTTGAATATACACTCATTGCCAGATGCCACAGACGACCAGCCATCCTGGCGGTCACAAAAAACTGGTTGCAGTTGTATTTGGCTACAAAGCCTTGAAAAAGCTGACTTTATAATAATGATAATATATATATAGTTAAGAAATAATAGTTAAGAAGAGTAATATATAGTTAAGAAAAGTATCCTATCCATAACTTCCAAGGCCGTGGCTGAAGATGGTATTTGCCGTGACATGCTGATACCTATCCTGGATGACATTACATCAATTATCACACACATTATGAATTGTTCAATTGCAACTTGGCGTCTTTCCTAGCGACTGGAATTTAGGCCATGTCATTCCCATCCCTAAATCCGCTACTTCCACGGCTTTCTCCCAATTTCGTCCTATCTCCATCCTACCATTCCTGTCAATGGTCCTCGAAGGCACTGTTCATAAACAACTTTTCTCATTTGTCTCTCGTAATGATCTCATAAGTCCATATCAATCCGGTTTTCGTCCTGGTCCTGGCACAGTAACTGCCTTACTTAACGTCACGGATGATATTCGCCACGCCATGGATAACCGATTGTTTACCATTATTGTGTTACTGGGCTTCAGCAGTGCTTTCAACTCTGTCGGCTATGACATCCATCTTGCCATTCTCTGCTGTCTTAACTTCTCCCCTGTCGCAATCGCCTTCAAAGGATCAAGCATGATGACACTTATTCTGAATGGTCTCCTTTGACTTCAGGGGTGTCTCAGGGTGGTGTACTTTCACCTCTTCTCTTCTCGCTGTTCATAAATTAACTCACAAAACTAATAACTCCTCCGTTCCACTTATACGCAGATGACGTGAAAATTTATAGACACTTTGATGTAGCTAATACCCTATCTGCCATTGAAGCTATAAATAAAGATCTTCTTGTGGTGAAGTCTTGGGCTGATGCGTTTGGTTTGCTTGTAAACCCAACGAAATCACAGGCAATAATCCTAGGTAGCAACAGACCTTACTGTAGGTTGGACATTAATAATCTCCCCAAGGATTCGTATAATGGAGTGAGTCTTGCTTATGCTGATAATACAAAGAACCTGGGTCTGATAATCGATCATACACTGTCTTGGAGATCACAGGTAAATGAGGTTAGTCGACGCATGCATTTTTCCTACCATTCTCTCAAGCGGCTTCAATTCTCCTTGCCGTTCAATACCAAGGTTATGCTTGCTCAGTCTTTACTACTTCCTCTACTCGACTATGCCGATGTTTGTTATTTGGATCCTACTGAGGAGCTATTTAACAAACTGGAGCGCCTACAAAATCTGGCAATCCGTTTCATATTCGATTTACGTACTCGTAAATATGATCGTGTCTCTGAATTTCGGACTAAGTTGAAATGGCTACCAATACGACTTCGCCGAGATATGCACGCTCTTTGTCTCCTTTACAAAATTCTACATTACCCCCAACTTCCTCATTGTCCGTTTTTCTCCACTTTTTTCACTAGATCACTTAATAAATCCCCAATCCAACTCGAAATTCCTCCACAACTCTTTCACGGTAAGTGCAACTCGTATGTGGAATAAACTGCCTGCTGGCATTCGTGACAGTCCATCGGTGGCATCTTTCAAACATAAATTAAAAGAGTACTACCTGTCGAACGCGTTAGATAGCTAACCGGTAACATATATTATAAACTAGTAATTTGTTTAGATTATAATATATATTCTGCATGTATGTATGTATTTATGTATATAAAGTTCATGTAGGTGTGTATGTCTGTCATATGTATATATTGTCATCCTTTATATAAAATAAAATATATATGTGTATATATTTTTTTTACTCACATTTAAATTTTAATAAAATTAAATGTACAATAATTAGTCCCACAGACTTCATTTTTCACCTAGACTAGGGTTGGCTGGAAGAGATCTCTTGTAGAGATAAGATCACCTTTGTATATGTCCTTTGTAACTTGTGTTTCATGTATCTTTTCTTTGTGCAATAATAACATACTCCCTACCTGTATTTTTTTTTTGTTGTAGGAAACAGTGAATAAATAGAAATAGTAGGCTAGTGCCGTCTTAAAAAACTAAAGATTTATTTTCAGATAGTCAACAAGGTCGACCAGATAAAGTACAGCCATCGCCAAGTAAGGAACAGGACACGTTCCGTGAAGTGTCCCTGATACAACCCAGTTCTTCCATACAGGATCTACCAACTAGCACTGAATCAATGAGTTTTACAAGCCAAGACTTAATGGTGAGTTAGTTTTTCAATAGTGTATGTTTAACTCAGTTATTTCTTGAAATAATTGTGTTTAAAATTGAAACCTGTCTCCTACTAGATTTCCACCGCTCTTATAAAATATTTAATTTATCACAATATTTGTTCTTATTATGTTGTACAGGAAACGCCAAGACAAAGAAGACTATCGAACAGTTCATTTGCCAGTGATGTATCATTCAGACTACCTAGTTATGAAAGTCCATCCATGTACCACTTGCAAGTAAGCAATTCAGTGATCAATCTTTAAACAGCAATAATTTTGTAAAAGTTATAATTATTTAACTGTAACTTATTTTTAATGATTGAGCTGTTAGACATACACAATACAATACGGTTATAATACCAAGTATTATAATTATATATTATACAGGGTGACCCAAAACTCAACGATAACCTGAGCGCAGGTGTTTGCCTAGTTTGTAACAACCCAGAAAAAAAATATTTAAAAACTCGGAATCATGTTTTTTTTTGTAATAACAGCATTTTAATGAATTAAAAAATGTTGAAAATGTACGAGCTGTCTACCATTTTTTAGTACTACAATTACGAATTTGCTAATTTTGCTGTTCTAGTTTTTATAACGGTAACCCAAACAGCTCAGCTAATGAACACAATACCAAAGAAAACCCGAATTGCTAAAGTTTCAGCACAAAAAATTAATGTATTTAGTTCTTTTTGTTGAAATTTTTAGCAGATTTTTTTTTTTTCAAGGTAACTTTGACACCCCTTACTGTAAAAAAATGTACCTAGACTACCATGGCAACTTCTTACAAAAGTTGGCACAACTAATCAAGATTCTAAAATGGTATAAACCCTTTTACGTCATGCTCCTTGGAAATATATATATATGTGTGTGTGTGTGTGTGTGTGTGTGTGTGTGTTTCGTTCTTCCTAACTAAGTAGGTGTCTACACAGGTGTGTAAACTAGTGAAATAATAATAATAAATTAGTTGGTACTTTCCAGTCTGACATGGAAGTGTCAGCAAGTGAAGCGGAAGAGAGAGGATTTTCAAGTGGCATGGTAAATCTGGAGCGTGTCACGAAGGATCAAATATACGCGGCATATCGACGCACACAGGATCGATATACGAAATACAGGACACAATACGCTGATCTTGCCCGCCATTATAAACTGTTGGAAAGGGAAAATGCAAAAGCTCGGGTAATTAAAAACATCTCAAAACAAGCTTCTTGACAGGCAACGATAAATATTACACAGCATACTTGCAGAATTTCATTATAAAATAGTGACATTTTTAAACAAATCGTTCCATATTCTTTTACACAGACCAATATCGCGATGTTTATTAGTTTTATTACCTTTTTTACAATATAAGTAATATAATGAAACAATGATTTCAGAGCGTATTAGTGGAAACCCAAGATAAAGCGCTGAGGAGAATATCTGAACTGAGAGAACAGTGTTCGTTAGAACAAAGCGCAAAGGTGAGGCGATATTTCAATATAATTAGAATTTATCCTAAAACCAATACACAATCAACAACTACATAGACAGCGGCGCAGCCGCTCACATTTTTTGTTTCTTTCATATTATTACATAGGGCGCACTATAAGTCTCCGGAACAGGCCACTTATATAAACAATATTTAAAAAGTAATTGCAACATTTGAAAATGGAACTTTTTGGCTGTAGAATACAGTTTGTTTCATATGACTGTCACTTGTTTTTACATTGTGGCGTCATTTGGGTAATTGGTTGTCTACATCACCATGGATTTAACTTGTGAAAATTTTCGTAGTATGATTTTCTACGACTTTTAAGTGTAATTTAACATCTCAGCGGTGCTTCGCTCGACTTCAAACTGCTTTTGGCGATGAAGCAACATGCAAGACGACTATTTATAGCTGGTTTCAAACTGGTAGCTGGTTAAGAACATCGATGCTGCGATACGGCGCACCGTATGATCAACAGACAGGCATGTGACATACCATGAGATTTGGGCAAGTTTAGGCATAGGCATGATCAAATACAGGACACAAATACAATACAATCAATACTACACAAACATTTGGGTGTGAAAAAGCTGTGCTCTCGGTGGATTCCACACAATTTGACTGAGGCTCAAAAAACGGATCGTGTCACTTGGTGCAATGCCATGCTTACCAGATTCGACGAAGGGCCGTCAAATTTGGTGTGGGTCATAGTAGATGATGAAACATGGATTTATAATTACGATCCCGAAACAAAGCAGCAACCGAGCATATGGGTCTTTCGAGATGGGCCGAAACCAACAAAAGTGGCGCGCGTGCAAAGTTTGATTGCTTCTTTTTTTAGTAAAATTGAACACGATTTATAGTATTTTTTTTCTTATTCGTTTTGGAAACTTATAGTGCGCCCCACGTATAAACACGTAAAAAAAAAGTAATCGCGCCTTCATCGCTAATAATTAGAGTCTAAGAAACAAAAAGTAACCATGTGGTAATTTATTGCAATGTTCATTTCAGGCGCACCTAGAAAAAGCTCTTCGTATTGAAATAGAAGAAAGAAACATGAAAATTGACACACTTAACACAAAAATCAAATTATTACAAGAAAACAATGTAGGCCATGATGTGAATATTGAAAATGGCAATCAAAATGAAGTAAACGACGCACCTTTAATAAATTTGTCCGTAGACAATGAAAATAACCACACTAATAACGATGCCTGCACTTCAGAAATCGCTGCTCTGAATACTAAAATAGATAAACTAGAAATTTTGGTAAACAAGTACAAAGAATCACTTAAAAGCACAAAAGAGAAAAACTCCCAGATTACAACGGAATTACAACTCGTAACAAGTGAACTAGCTAGTAAAAATAAAGAAATCGATCAATTGCAAATAACCATCAAACAGTTAGATGAAACACGACAGAAAGTACTAGAATTAAACGATCTTAACGAAGAATTACAGAATAAAGTCAATGCTTACGACTTTAATAAAACAAAACAAATGTCGACTCTTGAAATTGACCTACATAAAGCACAAGAAGAAATAACTGAACTTCAACAAAAAATTGAAATTTTCACTAAACGTGAAGAAGAATATGCCATATCTTTAGCTGAAAACAAATTAAGGATACATAAAGAATTAGAAAGCAAAGAAGCCGAAATAAAATCGCTTAAAGATAGTTTATCTGGCGCCAAAACCGAAATACAGTCTTTGAATATTGTTGTGAGTGATTACAAAAACAGTATAGCACAATTAGAAGAAGAAAAATTAAAACTTAACAATGATATTAATGAACTAAGTTCGACGAAAATGAAAATTACGGAATTGGAATCACAATTACAAACACTGACACAAAAATGTCAATTATTGGAAAATTCGAAATCAAAAGCAGATGAGGAATACAAATGTCTTCAGTTACAGTTGAAACAAGAAACAGCAGAAAAACTTGCTATGGTTGATAGAAACACCTATCTAGAAGATAGAAACTCCCAGTTGTCTGAAGAAAATGTTAAGAAAAGCCAACAAATAAATAACCTGGACAATGAATTGCAAATTCTCAAAAAGGAAAGAATTTCAGAAGAGGATAGCACGAATGAAAAATTAGAAATGGTTGACGAAATTGAAAAATGGAAAAATAAATGCAGTGATTTGGAATATGAAATTCAAGAAGAAAGAGAAGAGCTTGGAAAGTTACAGTCAGAAATTGAAAAACTATTGTCTAATCATGAGCTTATTCAGAAACTAAATACAGAATTAAACACTGCTACTAATAATTTGAAAACCGAAAACAAAATATTACAGAGTAAAGTAGAAAATTATAATAAAATAAAAGGCTCGTGCATTAATTTAGCAAACAAAATAAAAGATTTGCAAAATATTGTCCTTGACGTGTCACAAGAGGCTAGAGCACTGAAAGAAATAAACAAAGATATAGTACCTAACATACAACAAAGTATTACCTTATTACTGAACAACGTACCGCGAACAAATGATGTAGAAGCTATTCAAGCTTTATGTGCAAAGTATAAAAACGACTATGAAACTACACATTCTGAGCTAAAAAATATATCACAATTGCATTTACAGATGACAAAAGATCTACAAACTTTGCAAGGAGAAAAAGAAAAATTGAAATCTAACCTTAATGATCACGAAAAGATGCAATCTAAGCTCTTAAAGATTTCAGAACAAAATTCCAATATTATAAACAAAAATGAAGATTTGCAAAAAGAGAATGAAAAATTACAATCCAAAATTAATGCTCATGATCAAGCACAAACTGAGCTTAAGAAATTGTCCGATCAATATTTCGAAAACTCAAAAGAATTATGTAACCTCCAAAAAGAAAATGAAAAACTAAAAACCGACGTCAAATCTATCGAAACTGAAAATATTGATTTGAGTGAGAAAATGGAGTACATTATTTCACAACATGATATTTCTTTAGAAGAAGTTAAGTCTGTAAAGAAAGAAAAACAAGAATTGATAAATAAATTAGAGGAGTTTAAAACTAAATATCAACAACTGCACATGAAATTAGAAAATGACAGCGATGAACGTCGAAACTTGGAACAAAACATTCAACAGATGGGAATTAAAATTCTTGCCGTGGAAAAAGAAAATAAAGCATTAAATACAGAATTAGATATTTTAAGAAAACTCCAAGACAACTATTCTCTCATGGTTGAAAAGGTAAAAAATGTGGAAGAAGAAAACATTTTACTAAACACAGAAATTACCAAGATTAAAAAATTAAATTCTGATTCTTCAATTCTTATGGATAAACTGAAAAACATGGAAGATGAAAATATTTCACTAAAAACTGAATCAGATAGTTTAAGAAAAGAATATAAAGATATTTCATCAAAATTGAAGCAATTAATTGAGATAGAAAACGAAAAAAATAAACTGGAAGGAGTAGTAAATACTTTAAAAAAAGAAAATGAAGAGCTTGTTTTTAAAATAAATGACATGATTGGCAAAGAGGACTCATTGCATGAAAAATTGAAGAAAATGGAGAAAAATCTGACTTACATAGAAAAATTAGAAAACAATGTAAGAGATTTAAATCAAGAAAATATCGCACTGAAAAACCAGTGTGAAACCATCGCCAATAATGTGAAAAGTCTTCAATGTGAATTAAGTGACGTCCGAAAGTCCCATGCAGAAATAGAAGTAGAGAAGGACAGGCTCTGCTTTGTTATAGAAGAGTTAGAAAGAAATGAACGCATAAATAAACCCAATGATAAAGATACGCAAACAAATATCAATATTGAACAAGAACCAATTCAAGAACTTGTCGAAGTTCGAGCTCTCGAAGAACTTCATTCAGATCAAACCAGACATAAATATGATGATGAATTACCTAAAAAATATGATAGTCTGCTAGTGGAACATAACTCACTTAAGGAAGAAAACAGGCGATTACAATCAGACGTTTCCGGACTACAAACGTATCTAGCACAAATATCTAAAGAGAACAGTATCTTAAATGACAAGATGAGAGAATTAATAGCCTTTGATGAGGGCTCTACTAATAAAGGCCTATCTGACTTGAAAAATGAAAAAATGGATGACCTTATTCGAGAAAACATGTTACTAATAGAAGAAAATCTAGAGCTGAAAGATCAGTTAACTTCACAAAATGACTATAAACCTGCTGGAAGTCAACCTAATAATGCTATGAAGGCAAGTGAGTTTATGGATTGGAAAGAAAAATACGAAAATTTGCAGGATACAAATAAAATGTTACAAAAGAGATTAAAGGATGTAGAGCACATGAACAAATCTGTAAATAATAATTTGCAACAGGTACAAGACAACAATGATAAGCTAAAATTATCAAATGAAAAATTGGAGCGAAGGTTAGATGAGGCGCTTGTAAGCTTACGACATTTACATTCTTTACAGGAGAACACAGAACTAGAGTACTTGAGAAACATTCTATATGAATATCTCACTGGATCTGGGACACATTCCGTTACATTAGCTAAAGTACTTGCTGCGGTTGTTAAATTTGATGACGCTCAAACTCGACAAGTGCTTCAGAAAGAAAAGGAACGACAAGGATTTGTAAGTATCTAAATTTATTCTTTCTTGTTGTAGTTTTTGGGGTCGTGGACAACTCTACATCTCGTCAAATTGTGAAATTGTACATTGTGATTCAATAACTTTGAGGTGCAAGTCAATAGCGAAGAAGCCGCAATTTGATACTGAACCATTTAAAAAATTGAATTCTACGACATATCATTCCTTTAAAGAATAGCCGTTCTAATCATACTTCATTTTAATGTACTATTCTATGTTGCAGTTACGACAGCTTGGGATTATATGATACCAAATGTTAGAAGAATTAAACAGCCTAGAGTGAAGTTGAACTACTCGTATCTAAATTTCCAAAAAGTTTGTGGATATAAAGAATATTTTAATAGTAAGTGTGATATAATATTGCGTATTTAATTTGATGAGTTAACTTAAACTGTTGCGGTACAAAAAAGTGATCCGTTTAGACTAAATAGGACAAGAAAAATCTGACTGAAGAGTCATTTATAAACTCGTGTAAAATGAATTGTCATATTTCACAACTATGTAGTGACCAAATATACCATCACTGCTTATTTACAACTAAAAAGGTAGAATCAAATAACAGACTCGTATTATATTTAATGGAAGCAATTTTTTCGCAAATTTTTTGTATGTATTGTAACAGAAATTAATAAATATTGTGCAAATTAGAGATAAGTTTATAAGTTTGAAAAAATATTGTTTTGTTTTAATAACATGTCCATAAATTCCATTAAAGTAAGGTTAAGTTGTTAAAAGTTATATATTAATATTGATGTATTATGTACCTAATACACATTATTTATATTCTCTTTCATCATGTTCTCCACTGATTAAACCTATATTAATAAAAATAGATATAAGAAAAATTATGTATAGATGCCTATACTAATATAATTTCTTTACTTAATTTTATACTAGGAATAAAATAATCCTATTGAAATTATGTACATGATTTTTATTTTAACTTTCAAGAAAGTTCTGTAGTTGTGTTATTATGTTTTTATAATATTGTAAATTAATAATTTAATCCTATTTAAGTTTGCAAAATGTAAATAAAAATACAATAATCTTTATAATTAGTTTTTATTTTTCTTCGCTGCTTTCATTAAGTTCTTCATTAGAGTAATCAAAATCATCATCGTCTAAACTTATGGTATCAATGTTTGATACTAGCTCCTCTATATATGCTTTAATTTCAGGTGTGATGTTATCTTCACCATGTTTGTTTATGTATCTGGAAGTTTAAAATATATATTTAACACTATTATTATTAAGACCAACACTAATTAACAATTCTGAGCAAATTCTTCTTGCTTTGATTTCCTCTAATTGAGGCCATGTCTATCCCATTATGTTGTCACATTTTATTTATCGTTGGATGACTGTCGCATCTAGCCATTCCCATATCACAATTATCTGTCATAACTGGTCATGGACGTAGATTTTATAGTTGAATGACTGTCGTGTCTAGCTGTTCCCACTAGATTGTGACAACATGTTATCGGTTCACGGCAGTCGTCTTGGCGTTTCTATGGCAGAATTATTTGAAGATGTGATTATCTGTCATCACATTTTTATTGTAACGTTTTATTTATCAGTCAGATGACTGTTCCAGCTTCCCATTGTCACCACAGTCTCTAGTTGTAACATCAAAAAAGTTATAATGATGACGACAGTTAATCGTACTGTACTGTGAACAACCTCATTTAACGATACAAGCCATGACACTTTAAACTGCATGACTATCTGTCACAACAGTACAGAAGACCAACTACAAAGCTCTATTAATTTTATATAGATTTCAAACACTAAACATTTCACTAAAATTTAAGGAGTGTCAGAATAAAACCCAATAAATCACATTTGGACTCATTCATTTTCAATGTTAAATGGTATTTTTTGTACTATTAATAATTTATACAAGCTACTTCCAAATACATTTCCAATGTATGGATCTGAACACAATGCGATTAATTCATGCAATTGACTAGATGAGATTAGAATTTAAATTTATCAGCTTTTCTTCCGAAGCTCCCCATTTAGAATAGTAAACTGCAAAAAATCTTGAAGAGAACTCAAAACAATTTACCTAAGTATAGTCCTTCGTTTTCTCTCAGGTAAATCTTTCAATTGCAATTTGATTTCAGAACTGGGAAATGTTTCAATGTTTTCATTAGTTTGTTCTCTATTCTGAAAATAAGATATTTAATTGAATCATTAAGTACAAAACATATACAACATTATTCACACCCAGTATTATTTACAATTTTCAGTAGTATTGAAGTTGGAGTGACTTACATGTATTGGTATACAACATTTTGCACAAACTTTCTTTTCAGTCGCACATTTAGTACAAAGAATATGATAAGCATATTTAACAGATTTCAGACTACACGCCACACATTTAGCGGGTACTGTCAACGGCTTATACTTTTTGTACTTGATCTTCCACTCAAGGACATCTTTGCAGCGTTGACACACTCCGTTGACTTCCAACGAGTTGAGGAACTTTGTTTTTTTGCTGGTATCGTGTAAGTTGTTTTTGAACGCTGTTTTGTTCTGATGTTTCTGAGGTCTGCTCCTCGAATTACTTCCTTTTGATGAGCTCATGATTTTTGCCTGAAATAAATAAATTTATTATAATTGAAATAGGACGAGGTTCGCTTCTCTGTGGATATCCTCGACAAAAAACTGATAATGACGGGATATTTTAAGCACGTCTGTATATAGAAATGGGCTAGGAAATATTTAGAATTCAATTTTAATTTAATTACCTGTATATAGCCATGCGGAAATCAACTTGACACTAACTAACGTGACGTGACCACAGAACACTATACTCACGTGACCCTAATGACAACCGAACTAATGTGAACGTTTTGGAGAAATTCTACCATTTTCTAAGTGTGTGGATCGATTGATGCCAAATCGCATGTTAAGATTTATAATTCATAGTTTATTATTAGTTTAATTTTTAGATTTATCTTAGTAAAAACATTAAGTCTCGTTAGATTGATTCATCAACAAACAACACATTTTTTACAAGAATTTGACATATTTTTGAGAAATAAATGGCTACATTTAGATTTCGCATGTGGTCAGATTCGCTCTGGGCCTTTTGGAGGGAAAAGTGTCGTTTTTATTTTGACTTTCAATTATTTTGTGAAATCTAGTTTAAAGTGGAATAGGATAGTGCTATTGTGCCTTAATCGAAGATTAAAACGCGAAATTATACGAATCTCGAACTAAAATACCGGTATCAGCCCGTTCTAAGGAATCCCGAGTCAATCCAAGCACGCCGCCGCCGCCGCCTCAAATTGCCTATCCTCTTTGTGGTGGCCACAAAGTACTTTGTATATATATGGTGGCCATATTTCCAAAAATATAATTAAACGTTTATGTTTTCGGCTGAAGGACTTTGTTTCCATGGTCAGCAATAATTTAAAAAAAAAAAGCATGTGGTCATCTGTCTGTCAGTATCACCCGTTATGGTCAAAGAGGATCTAACCACTACGTTGAAGCTGTGGTGCAACAGATTTAATTATAAAGTATTCTTTAGTGCACAGTGAGTGAGCCTGTAAGAGATAGTTTTACATAAGTACTACTTATAATATCTTATTATTAGTTGCTGTTGCTTTCTGCTAAAGTAAACAGTTCATTAATCGCTTTGAAGAACCAATCACATAGTACAAAGACGGGAAGCTATTTATTTTGTTACCAAAATTGCAAGAATTCTATATTTCAAGTAGCATTCAAGAATACAAAGTAAGATCTCAATATTTATGATTATTTTGGATTAAGAGAGATGGTATCCACAAGAAGGCTGGTTCAGATAGCTGCCTGGGGCGGCCTTATTGTTAGCGCCACTGGGTTTTATTTACAAAACCGACTGATCGATAAAGTTAGAGATTTAGACTATTACAAGACGGCTTTAAAATCGCTGAGAACTCACGCTGGCGCTGTTTACTATTTAGGAGAGCCGATCAAAGATAAACGATTCAAATTAAGTGATTCTGAAAACAATTATTCCGATTCGAAAACGGCCAGGTTTTGTGTACCCGTATCTGGTCCAAAGGACAGAGGAACCTATTATTTCTGGGCCGAAAATGATGCTGATGGGTGGAAAGTCGTAAAAGCTGAATTGGAGCTAAAATCAAAATCTGATTCTAGATTAGTTATAGTCAAACAAGCTAAATTTGTATAATTAATATTTGAAGAAATCAAGGAAAGTATATATTAAGTCACATTTTTACCATTAAATTTGAACATAGAAAACAATGTTTTATTATGCACTCTTAATAATTAAATAAAATAATTTGTGTTATAATGTAACCAAAGTTAGACCTGTTTCTTAATTATGAATCCACCAAAATTCATCAAAGTCCATTTGGCTGTTTCAGTGTGTTGTAATAAACATCCATAAAAACAAACTTTTGCATTTAATGAGGTTCCAAACATGAAATAAAAACAAAGTGGTTTTATTGAATATCTATTCTAGAACCTTTCATATATATTATGTAGATAGTACTTAAATAAACCTTATGAAAATTAAGACTGCTGTTTATTTTACAATAATTTTTATCAGTTTCAGGCACAATGAACGAAATGTTTGTTGGTACTTCAAAGGAAAAGTTTTTTTATCACAACACTCTATTGTGCTTAGTTAGAGCAATGCAGGGCCATAATATAACAGTGGACTTGAGAAATGACTCTTATATTTGTGGACATGTAGAAAATGTCGATGGGTAAGCATCTAAAGACTTAAGAAACTCAAAATATGGAAAATCAAATTAAAGCTCTGTATAAAAATCCTATATATATATA